ACTGCTGCCCCTCTCTGCCAATCTCTTCACGGGCTTCCCCTACCCCATTGTATAAAATTCAAAATACTAACCACAACATATAAAGGCCATCCACAACATCGCCCCTAGCTACATCACAAACCTCATCTGCAGATATCACCCAAATCGTCCACTCCGCTCCTCCCAAGACCTCCTGCTCCCTAACTACCTCCACCCATGCTCGCCAACAGGACTTCTCCAGAGCCTCTCCCATCCTCTGGAACTCCCTCACCCAGTATGTCTGGTCAGCTCCTACCCTGGCCGCCTTTAAGCAATCCTTGAAAACTCATTTATACAAGGAAGCCTACCCCACCTCCACCTAAGAAAATATACTTAAGCCACCCCCCCTCCCTTTAGATTGTAAGCTCCATGAGCAGGGCCCTCCTATTCCTTCTGTATTGAACTATATTGCAATAATACGGTCCCCCTTTATATTGCAAAGGGCAGCGTAAACTGTTGGCACTATATAAATCCTGTAGTTTAATCGTAAAGTTTTGACTTTACCCAACTTTTGATATACATCTTGGAGTGATGGACCTTAATGTAGAAAACACCCAGGTCACCTCTAGTTTTGCATTTTTTTTTATACTACAGGCTTACACATCACCTACTGTTTACATTAATAAGCACTGCATACAGTATTTGCTGTGATTTGATCACTTGTCAAAACGGTCTTTGTTTGAAACTGCTTTGTCATAAAATGAAGCAGACGTGTGTGTCCCCAGGCAGCTTGCTGGCTGCAGAAAAACCACGAAGACATAAATTAGCCCCCAAAACATGAAAGGGTTAAATAACATTCTGTATGTATTATTTACAGTACCTTGTGTTGCACAAAGTGGCAATTTTCTATAAGCACCAAAAACAAACTCGATGTTACACCAATCACTGAATCTTCTCCATTAAAGGTGTTCCATGGTCATAGCATACTTTTTCACTTATGACATCAGCATTGTAATAGCAATACAACCAACAGTTATTTTTCACCATCCAATATAAGCTATAAAGTGTTAATAAACCCATAACAGTAATATCAGCCTGTATATGCAGTAAAGTATGCTTGTTATACTGTGGAACCTAAGGAGCTAATCCTACCACACGGTGTAAAAAGGCTGTTTGATTCTGTCTTCTCTGATCCTCCCCTTCTTCTACTGTCCCCAATCCATCTGCTGATAGAACGGAGTGCATGTGAACAGCTCTGTCCAGACAGAGGGTCAAGGGTCCTACAGCCTCAGAGGACAATCAGGAGAAAATGAAGATTCCTCCTACAAGCTTTAACCAGTGCTCTAATAGAAGCCACAAGACTGCTCTAACTGCTGATGAGAAAAGGTGTTTAACAGTTTATATTTACTAAAATAATTTCATTTCCATGTTCTGTGTACTGTGGGAGACCAGATATAGTGCATGCAAGGTCCTGGGTTTGGTAACACTTTAAATCTTTCATGTTGTGAGTGCTGCTTATCTACTGGCCATCTCTTTCGACAACGTCCTGGATTCCTGCATGCCTAGCATCTTCTCCTCTGCTGCTTACTTTCAATTTTTCAGGACTATATATCCAATGACACCTTGCTGCCTACAAGCTCTAATTCTTGTACTGACTGCAACTCCTGAAACTCCTCCTCTCTGCACCTCTGTAGTCTAGAAGGCAGTGAATTCAGTGACACGGTAGTGTCTACTCACAGGGCATAAGGAATATGTCTAATTTAATTCAAGAAAGCAAATGTGTGGAGATCTTCACAAAGTAAGTTTCCAAATGTAAAGATCCTGCAGAGTAATAGGCGTAGGCTAGAAATAACTGAAATAAAATGTGTACATTAATACATGTATATACATTTTGATCAAAGTTACATTTTCACTCACAAGATATCTTCTTAATGAATATTCAGGGTAGTACAGATCATCTATCTATCTATCTATCCATCTAGTGAAAGAAATAAGTATTTGGTCCCCTGCTGATTTTGAATGTTTGCCCACTCACAAAGAAATGATCAGTCTAAAAATTGAAAGGCATGTGTATTGTAACACTGAGAGACAGAATAGCAACAAAAAGTTCAAAAGAAACGCATGTCTAACAAATTATACACTGATTTTCATGTTTATGAGGGAAATAAGTATTTGATCCCCTTCACAAAACATGACTTAGTACTTGGTGGCAAATCCCTTGTTGGCAATCACAGAGGTCAGACGTTTCCTGTAGTTGGCCACCAGGTTTGCACACATCTTAGAAGGGATTTTAGCCCACTCCTCTTGGCAGATCCTCTCCAAGTCATTAAGGTTTGGTGGCTGACGTTTGGCAACTCGAACTTTCAGCTCCCTCCACAGATTTTCAATTGGATTAAGGTCTGGAGACTGGCTAGGTCACTCCAGGACCTTAATGTGCTTCTTCTTGAGCCACTCCTTTGTTGCCTTGGCTGTGTGTTTTGGGTCATTTTCATGCTGGAACACCCATCCACAACCCAATTTCAATGCCCTGGCTGAGGGAAGAAGGTTCTCACCCAAGATTTGATGGTAAATTCCCCCGTCCATTGTCCCTTTGATGCGGTGCAGTTGTCTTGTCCCCTTAGCAGAAAAACACCCCCAAAGCAGAATGTTTCCACCACCATGTTTGACAGTTGGGATGGTGTTCTTGGGGTCATAGGCAGCATTCCTCCTCCTCCTCCAAACACAGTGAGTTGAGTTGATGCCAAAAAGCTAAATTTTGGTCTCATCTGACCACAACACTCTCAATCAGTCCTCCTCTGCATCATTCAGACATTCAGTGGCAAACTTCAGACGGGCCTGGACATGTACTTTCTTGAGCAGAGGGACCTTGCGGGCACTGCAGGATTTACATCCTTGTCGGCGTAGTGTGTTACCAATTGTTTTCATGGTGACTGTGGTCTCAGCTGCCTGGAGGTCATTGACAAGATCCTCACGTGTAGTTCTGGGATGATTCCTCACTGTTCTCATGAGCATTGACACTCCACGAGGTGAGATATTGCATGGTGCACAAGACTTAGGGAGACTACCAGTTGTTTTGTGTTTCTTCCATTTGCGAATGATTGCACCAACTGTTGTCACCTTCTCACCAAGCTGCTTAGTGATAGTTTTGTAGCCCAGTCCATCCTTGTGTAGGTGTACAATCTTGTCCCTGACATCCTTGGACAGCTCTTTGGTCTTTGCCATGGTGGAGAGTTTGGAATCTGATTGTTTGATTGCTCCAGTGGACAGGTGTCTTTTATACAGGTAACAAATTAGATTAGCAGCACTCCCTTTAAGAGACTGCTGCTAATCTCAGCGTGTTACCTGTATGAAAGACACCTGGTAGCCAGAAATCCTGCTGAATAATAGGGGGATCAAATACTTATTTCCCTCATGAACATGAAAATCAGTGCATAATTTGTTAGACATGCATTTCTTTTGAATGTTTTGCTGTTATTCTGTCTCTCAGTGTTACAATACACCTACCATTTGATTTTTAGACTGATCATTTCTTTGTGAGTGGGCAAACATTCAAAATCAGCAGGGGATCAAATACTTATTTCCTTCACTGTAATATATATATATATATATATATATATATATATACACACACACACACATATATATACACACACATACATACATATAAATACATACATACACAGACACACACACACATTATAGACAATGCTCAAAAAAATTAAAAGAACACTTTGAAAACAAATCAGATCTCAATGGAGAAAAAAAGCTCATGCTGGATATCTATACTGATATGGACTGCGAAATGTGTCAGGAATTTAAGGATGCCCCATCATCGTTTGATGGAAATGAAAATGATCAACCTACAGAGAACTGAATTCAAAGACCCCCCCAAAAATCAAAGTGAAAAAATTATGCAGCAGACTAGTCAATTTTGCTGAAATTTTAAAAAAGGTACTCAGTAGTTTGTATGGCCCCCACGTGCTTGTATGCATGCCTGACACCGTCAGGGCATGCTCCTAATGAGATGACAGATGGTGTCCTGGGGTATTTCCACCCTGATCTGGACCAGGACATCACTGATCTCCTGTCAGTCTGAGGTGCAACCTGGCGGTGTTGGATGGACCAAAACATGATATCCCAGAGGTGTTCTATTGGATTTAGGTCAGGCGAGCATGGGGGACATTCAATGGTATAAATTCCTTCATCCTCCAGGAATTGCCTGCATACTCCCTCCACATGGTGCCGGGCATTGTGGTGCACCAGGGGGAACCCAGGACCAACTGCACCAGCATAGGGTCTGACAATGGGTACAAGGACTTCATCCCGATACCTAATGGCAGTCAGGGTGCAATTGTCTAGCCTGTAGAGGTCTGTGCGTCCCTCCATAGATATGTTTCCCAGACTATCACTGACCCACCACCAAAATGGTCACGCTGAACGATCTTGCAGGCAGCATAACTTTTTCCATGGCTTCTCCAGACCCTTTTACGTCTGTCACGTCTGTCACCCATGTCAGGGTGAACCTGCACAGAGCACTAGTGGCAGATCTGCCAATTCTGGTGGTCAATGGCAAATGCCAAATCGAGCTCTATGGTGTCGGGCAGTGAGCACAGGGCCCACTAGAGGACATCGGGCCCTCAGGCCATCCTCATGAAGTCAGGAGAAGATACTGGTTCTGCTGATAGGTTAAGGACCTTCTATGGCCCTGTCCAGCTTTACTAGAGTAACTGCCTGTCTCCTTGAATCTATATATATATATATATATATATATATACATACACACACGCTGTGTGCGCATATATAGATAGATATATAATCTGCACTACCCTGAATATTCGTTAAGAATACTTTACCTACATTACACCTACTCCATAGAACTTTAACCTTTATATAAGCCAGCTCTCTCCTGTACACTGTCGAGTTCCGGATCTTTCAATAATCATATTAATCATATTTCCAAGATGTAGTCAAATCCATGGTGACAGCAATTGTCTTTAAGATGCTCCTTTGCATTTATTATTACGCTCAATAAGGAGCCTTACCAGTTGACACCATCTGCTTCCACCCACGCAAAACGGTACTCATTAACCCTAAGCATCAGTTGAAGGCATCCTGCGACACACTGCACATACTGCGAGCTCTAAAAATGTAAAAATGATAGGAATTAGTGGGGGGGGACAAAAGAGTATTTTATTATGGTTGCAACAGGAGAGAACTACATTAGTAGTCACTTATGAAAGGAAGGGATGTTGTTTTGATGTTGGCAAGTTGTGCCTTTCTTGCGCCATACATAGTGATGAGTAATCTTCCCGAACAATTCAAATTTTGTTTCATTAGTCCACAAACATTTTTCCAGTAGCACTGGAGTTTACCAAGGTGCTCTTTGGCTAACTTCAAGCAAGCAGCGATTTTTTAATTTTTTTTTTTAATGAGAGCAGCGGCTTTCTCTGCGGTGCTCTGCCATGTACACCCTGCCTGCTTATAGACTTACGTATGGTAGACTCATTAACAGGGATGTTTGCCAGTTCCAGTGATGTCTTCAAACTTTTAGCTGTTACTCATGGGTTCTTTACCTCATTGAGGATTCTTCTTTGTGCCTTGGAAGACATCTTAGCTGAGTACCCACTTATAGAAAGAGTAGCCACAGAACAAAGTGGTCTTCATTTATAGACAATTTGTCTGTCGACTGATGGATGCCTAAACCTTTGGAGATTGCTTTGTATCCCTTTCCAGCCTTATGCAGATCAACTACTCATAATTGTACATCTTCAGAGAGCTCCTTTTTGTGAGGTATGGTTCACAACAGTTGATGTTTCTTATGCACAGCAATCTTAAAATGTTTGAGTGTCTTATCAAAAGTAGCTGTATGCTATACTCCAATTCACTTTACTAACTGGACTCCAGGTATGCAAACTACTGACTCCAATTAGTTTTCGGTGAAGTAATTAGTCTATGAGTTCACTTATATTGTGAATGTTTAATAAGTTTGTTCAATAACACTTACATTGTGTTGCATTGAATGCGCCAAATGTAAAAGTGGAGCTAATTAAGTACAACTCTTGACGTATAGAGAGAAAAGTTGTCTCTCGTGCAAGTGGGGAAGCATGAGCAAAATTTAAGTTCTAGACAGGTATGTTAATTTGGAATTTCAGAGTGCTTTGAAAGCAGAAAGAGGGTAATTGTATATTATCCTATATGCAGAGTGGTGGCACCTATTTTTTGGCACAATTTCTCACTGATCACTTATTGTGTATTTGTGGCATTTCACGTATTGCAGTGGTTGTTTCACAGGGCCACTAAGGAAGTGGTGTGTTGATTTTCACCTCACATGTGTGATGCCTATTTATTAGTATATGTATATCACCAGTGTGGTTGCATGATATCACTTCTAATTTTTATAAAAGATAATGCACTATATATCTAGTTTATTTTTTGGAGGTTCTTTTGGATTGAAGGGAAGATTTGGACATTTTCACAGTTTCAAGATTGGAGAGCGAGGACTATAATTTTTTATTTTAATTTTTTTTATTTTAATTTTTATTTTTTTTTTTTTATTTTTGTATATTTTATTTTTTTGGACTTTTAATTTTGAATTTGGGACTTTATTATGGACAGTATATTAGCAGTTTGAGACTGCGGGTGAGGTTATGTGTGTATGTAGATTATTGAAAAGATTTATGCTATGTTAATTTGGCACATTCTTCACCACTTTTAGAATGCATAAGAGACACTTTCGCAAAATCTGGTTGCATCAGTCTTTATGAATTCCAGGGATTGTGTTTGTCTATTGTTGTGACTCACATAAGGATCAGATTACATTTTATGGCAAACTACTGCAGAAAACAAGTTAATTCCAAGGGGTTCACTTACTTTTTGCCATTGTACCTGTTACCTGATGGCAATGGAAAACCACTAGGATATCAGACAGCAGAAATGTAACTTAAATGGGGGGCGGGAAGGGGGGACTGAGTTTGGTAACTTGCAAACAGGTGTTTAAGCGTAATTTCTCAGCCCATCAAAGCCATAGTGAAAATATACTGAAAAAAACATTTATATCCATTCATTGTTCAACAGCTTATGACAAAAGAAAAAGATGTACATTATGGCATACAATTGAACATTATTTATTATATTATACTCTACACTAAGCTACAGGTCTTTATCTAAAAAAATACGCAAAGCTATAGAAGAAAACTAACAGTTTAAAAAATTACAAGAAAATGTAAATATAAAAAACAAATTAAAACACACAATGTAACCGAGCCAAGGTAGGAACATTCACCACAGCAGAAAATACCCTGCTAATGAATGCAGGCAATCTCAATTGATCAGTGGTGAGAAGTACAATTAAAAGCCAGCACTGGTTACCTAAATAGGAATGGAATGTTCAATACAACCCAAGAAATTCTGATAAGAAAAAATCCCTTTATGATGCTTTAGCACAGTGGTTTTTTTTTGAAAATAAACCTAAAGTATGTATCATTACAGAGAAATACTTAGCAGAAGCACACAAGGTCAGCTTTCCCCCGCTGCAGAGGGAACATATTCCTTTTACAACCTTTCAAAACAAAAGCTTCATGAAAAGGGAGAGAGAGCCTGTTAAATAAATAGATAAACCTCTTTTAAAAGTAATGAGTGCCAGCTTGGTGCTATTATATGAAGAAATTGCAGGGTCAAATTCAAGGCTTGCCATTTCAATGACAGATGTCCATTACATACAGATTTTGAAGACTAATTAAAATGTGGATGCACATCAGTAAATTGAATAATAAAAATTCACTGAAGACTTTATCTTTATTACCTGCTAGGGACAGGAGTGTTTAAATTGGAAACATTGTTTAACTTGGAAAATGTTTATTAAAACATTATTACTAACAGAATTGGTGGTAAATTTGATATTCTTTCCACGTCAACCAAATATATCCTTCAACTTATCAAACATGTCCCTTGAGATTGAAAACTGGAGTGTAAACATTCTCTAAAGGCGACACAACGCTTCTGCTCAAGTATAACCAAACCTCAGACTGCTATCTTTTTTCTAAACCTAAACTGATAAACTTCAGCACCCCCACCCCACTCCCAAAAAAATTTTAAAAAACACCATTTGAGGGGGGGGGGGAGGGGAGGGGGGCAGGGGGCTGCTCAGAGAAGTTTTTTTACTTTCATGCATGGAATGCATGAAGGTAAAAAAAACCTTGACCCTTTAGAACTACTTTGAGAATGAATGGTATCAACCAGGGGTTTATTATACATTTTTAGGAAGCTTATAGCCAGGTATTGAATGACTGACTTCTACCTCTCCGACCCATATACAATGGATAGAATATGTTAATTCCTTATTCCTAAGAGAACAACTCACTTATCGTCATCACAATGCACTTTGTGAGTTTGAGCTAGTATGGCAAGGCTGGTTAGATATACCAGACTTCGCTCCACTGCAATTAGTATAGGACAGGCTTCTCCAAATGTAATAGATATACATCCTGTTCCAAATTATTATGCAAATTCTATTTAAGTGTCACAAAGATTAAATATTTTGTTTTTCAGTTTAACTCATGGATGGCATTGTGTCTCAGGGCTCTTTTGATCACTGAAAACAATCTCGGACACCTGTGATAATTAGATTGGCAGGTAAGCCCAATTTAAGGAAAAACTACTAAAGGAGGGTGTTCCACATTATTAAGCAGAGCACCATTTTCAAGCAATATGGGGAAGAAAAAGGATCTCTCTGCTGCCGAAAAGAGTGAAATAGTTCAATGCCTTGGACGAGGTATGAAAACATTAGATATTTCACAAAAACTTAAGCGTGATTATCGCACTATTAAGAGATTTGTGGCTGATTCAGAGCACAGATGGGTTCGTGCAGATAAAGGCACATTTCTGCCAGATCCATGCATCGGATCAAGACAGCAGCTGCTAAAATACCATTACATAGCAGCAAACAGATATTTGAAGCTGCTAGTGCCTCTGGAGTCCAACGGACATCAAGGTGTAGAGTCCTCCAGAGTTTTGCAACTGTGCATAAATATTCTATTCGGCCACCACTAACCAATGCTCTCAAGCAGAAACGGCTGCACTGGGCATAAAAATACATGAAGACTAATTTTCAAACAGTCCTGTTCACTGTGGAGTGCTGTGCAACCCTGGATGGTCCAGATGGATGGAGTAGTGGATGGTTGGTGGATGGCCACCCTGTTCCAACAAGGATGCGACGTCAGCAAGGCGGTGGTGGAGTCATGTTATGGGACGAAATCATGGGAACAGAGCTGGTCGGCCCCTTTGGGGTCCCCGAAGGTGTAAAGATGACCTCTGTAAAGTATGTGGAGTTTATGACTGACCACTTTCTTCCCTGGTACAGAAGGAAGAACTATGCTTTCCGTAATAAAATCATCTTCATGCATGACAATGCACCATCTCATGCTGCAAGGAATACCTCTGCATCAATGGCTGCTATGGGGATAAAAGGAGAGAAAGTCATGGTGTGGCCTCCATCTTCCCCTGACCTCAATCCTATTGAGAACCTTTGGAGCATCCTCAAGCAAAAGATCTGAGGGTGGGAGGCAGTTTACATCCAAAGAGCAGCTCTGGGGGGCTATTCTGACATCTTGCAAACAAATTCAAGCAGAAACTGTCCAAAAACTCACATGTTAAATGGATGCAAGACTTGTGAAGCTGCTATCAAATAAGGGGTCCTATGTTAAAATGTAACGTGACCTGTTAAAATGTTTAAAAAGTTAAAATGTTATTAAAAGTTTGATTGAAATAGCTTTTGATTTCAGTAAATATGCTGCAAACACAACAAATGACAATTTTCAGTTCTTTACAACCTATAGGGTGTTTTGAAACTTACTGTGTGTAATATTTTGGAACAGTGCATTGTAAGTTTTTTTAGGTTTAAAAAAATAATGTTATCATTAGGAGGTTTGTTCAATAAAATGTGAATTGTACTCTTAATAGTTGATAACATGAGAATTATGCTGACTGTTATTACATCAATTATTTAGGTAAATGAGAAAAATATAATTTGCATAATAATTTGGAACAGGGTGTAAGGGTTGTTTTTCTATTTTTATTTTTCTATTGTATGTTTCTTGCTATATTTTCTATTTTATGATAGCTGCAAGATTTATGACACGTATTTAGCTGAATTCTATTATCGCAGATATATCCACCTGATGTTCGTAGGTTTGGATACTGCTAGTATTGACAGGATAATCACTGATTTGTTAAGAAGACATGTTCTTCTACTCTGTATCATGTTTTCTATGCCTACTACAGTACACATTACACATTGTCCTATCAATCCTGCTCTGTGTTATTAATAAAAATAATTTGGGTTAAAAGAAAAAAAAAAAAAAAAAAATCACATGTTCACAGACTACAAACTAAAACAAGGATCTACTTAAATGAAACTGCAAACAGAAATCTAATAACAGTTTAATTTTACATACTAGTTTTATACTAATCTTCAGCTTCTTGATCTTGCTAGCAAAGAATCCTTTTCACTCCTGATGCCTCAACAATCACCACTGTAAAATTTGTCGTCTGCTATCTCCAGAGCTTGTGATCTTCATTTATAAAGCCATACATAAATATTTCAGAACTTGGTTTGGACTCTGTCTATCTATAAATATTATATGAAATAAGAGCAACAAGGAACAGTTGGTGGATCACAAATGAGATGCAAAACAGATTGAATTTTTTAAGAATATTATAATGAATAAAAAAGCCGCAGCTAAAAAAGACTAAGCTATACCATAAGTAGCATGCTGAAAGCCCAATGTCAAGTAACGGTACGCTCACTTTTGATTCACCTATCATACCATAGGATTTTTTTTTTCCCCTCTGCAGAACACTTACATCACTTGGAGAGACCGTTCCTGTTTCCATGGCAGTTCCACTTCCTCGTAATTTCTGAAGCAGAAAATAAAGAAAAAATGTAAAAATAATAGAAGTCCTTCTTTGTAATTCATCTTCATCTTGACTATTGCTTCTATTTGTTCTGGAGGGTCAGACCAACTAAAACTAATCTTTCAGTTCTGAGATGCTATAGTTAAACTACCTTACTTGTTTATATATCTCTTATAACACAGTCCTGTATGTGATTGTTAAGGTGAAATAAAAGAAAGAATTGAGTATAGTACTCAACTGTGTAATTATGTGTTCCCAATTATGGCTATAAAACCACCTGAAATATCTGTATTCTGAGTTCCTGGGTCTTCACATGTATGGTTATTTTTGGTGCGTTCCAACGTTATCCTTTTTTTTTTTTTAATTATTAAATTGACTGTCACATGGATGCAAGGGTGAGTGAGAACATGCAAAACAGGAGATTTGACTGTAGGCACATTCCAAGACATACAAAAGGCCAGAGGCTGCACACAGCCCAACAGGTTAAATACTTTAAATGTATCTCCATTTCCTTAATGGCCCTATATTGGAAAAAGCGAAGAATTAGCCCACTCTTAGACTTTGTAAAGTTTCAGGGGGTATTATCAATACCAGACATTTCCCTTTACCAAGAAGCCTGACATCTTACCAGAGTAAAAGACTGCTGCCATCATAGCTACACAAAACAATGGATCGTAGTAAAACAGGTCTTCATGAACATCCCACCGAAGGCACTACCATGGTGCCTAAAAACATTCCTGTCTCAGTTAAATCTAAGCCTACCATAGGTACTACGTGTGTGCCATATGTATAAAAAAATCCTGCAGGTTCATCCTTCCCTCCAGGGAGTGGATCCCCCCTTCAGGCCAGTATTTACATCTTGTGGAAGACACCCATCTGGAAAAGGCACAATTATCCCACTTTTTCCAGTCTGTACCACTTGCTAATTACGTTGCTAGACCCCTTCACGATTTAAACAAGAATGTTAACAGGAACCTCTTAGGAACACAATCTCTGTTATGTATAACCTACTAAACTCACCACCCGACTCCTCCATCCCTCCTTACAAAGAAAAATGAGAAGGACCTACAAACAGGATAATCTACTAAGCACAAAAAGCATCAGTTTGTACAAAATGCCAAGAGTCTGGATTCAAGATCTTAACATAATAGTACAGGACACCACAAACTTTCCCCACAGGTACCCAACAGTAGCTGCCTCATGCTGGAGATGCGGCATTATCCCAGGAAATAATCTGCACAATTTTTGGTCTTGCCTTTCCCTACATCCATTTTGTAAAGAAGTATGCAGTATTTTGAAACAATTTACAGATTTCCCCCTACCAAATGTCCCAGCCTTCTTTTAAGTGCACCATATTACCATTCCCAGAAAAGCTTAGAAGAGATCCATCCTCCCAAAGCGGAATAATGCAGATGGAAACTGCATCCTGAAACTATAAAACAATGAAAACCATGAAAACAACCCCAGACTTCTTCCATCACCATGTGTGAACAACTGAACACATGGAAGATGACATAGCCTCAAAAGGAGTCACCCATGACAAATTATGGAAGGCTTGGTTTTACTGGAATGAGTTCTCATCTACACCAGAATATGAAACCCTTATACACATTGGGGATCAGTTATAAAAACTGGAGAGTGCAAAATCTGTTGCAGCTCTGCATAGAAACCAATCAGCTTCTAGGTTTTATTGCCAAAGCTTAATCGAACAAGCTGAAGTTACATGAATCGAACAAGCTGATTGGCTACCGTGCACAGCTGCACCAGATTCTGAGTGTGCAGGTTTTAGTAAACCTCCCTAAGATAGAATCACAAGACCATCCCTGTAAGAGGGGCTGGGATAAAAGATACCTTCCTCTACATCTTCATTCCATTTCTTTCTCTGGTTTTCCTACCCTTACCTCCCTTGACTACTTTCTCATTAATAACTTTCAAAACTTTTCAAGCAGTGATGAATATGGCTTCTCAGATACTGTCCTGGTCTTTCCACTCCCAATAAGTGGTCCTATTTAAAGAAACGTTGAGAAACTCTGCATTGCCAACTACCTTAGGGGGTGATACGCAGGCTTTATGTAGACAGACGTTTTTCATCTACAAAAATATAACCTAACCAGATTGTAAATGTGGTCTCTGTATGTCAACTTCATAGTTCCTACATATAAATAATGTATTTATTTAAAAAAAAAAAAAAACATTTTAAATTACTAGCCTGGCCACATGTTAACATTAAGTGCACATAACCACAATTAGCATGCACTGCCACTTGGAGAGAAGAATTTGAGTTTTTTTTTCCCCATTATCTCTTCAATGTGGAATCATTTTTAATGCAGTAGTTTTTACTGTAACAAAAATTGTCAATCAATAAAAGTAGACTAAGGATTTGTGTACAAAGGCTTCACATTTAGAAGCAAGTTGAGTGCAGTATACGTTTGTGTTGCTTTAACTTTTGTGTTAATTACTATGACCAAATTTTGACTTGCTTCTGAGGTGCTGATTATTAGCTTAATAGTTGCTTCATGCTGTTTTGTAGTTGCTTTACAAAGATTTTCGGCTGCTTCTTTATTCACCACTGACTTGTACGGCAAAGAAAGAAATTCAGAAGACTTTCTACACAAGTCCTTAGCCATATAAAAGGGTTATAATTTTGTCATGTTTACACTAAGCAATCTGCAAATGTCAATAAAAGGACAGAAAAATTACCTGGGAACTCAGCTGAGTTTTAATCCAGTTGAAATAGTAATTCAAATCACTGCCTTCCATCAGTTCTTTCCCCCAAGCAGCCAATTTAGCAATTATACGTGCAGCCTGAAAGAACAGATTTTTATTTTTAACTCATAGATACAACAGGTTACATTTCTCCTCCAGCCATGGTTACTGAGGAATAGACTGCAATACATCAAAATACATTTCTGAATAATAAAACTTATGTAGTGATAAAACATCAGAGGGATAATGAAATCACAACAGATGTGTATATACTTAAGTGAATTAATAAAACAATTTATTTAGTCCTCGTGTGTGCAGCATATTTCATTGCCATCATTTCCTTCACTGACAGATTAAGGTAGAAGTAGGGTTCCACCTTTGATTTATATATTTAAAACACTTGAGCACCATTGAAATGGGTATGTAGAGACATACATTGGAAAATTTGTATTTGCTAAAAAGTTTTCTATTTCTGTTGAACTATTTTGTGATCCTGCCCGTTCTGCCAGAAAGAACCACCTGATCCATAACTTTGTTAGCTTGTAAGACAAGATTGGTCAAAACATAGTCAAGGCTGCCTATTGGTTGGTAAAGGAAGCAGTAGCACACCAGTGACATCATTCTTCTGCTCACTGTTCTCTCCTCGTAGTATTTTTACTGCCAGCACATGTACAGAGTTTACAGACTAATATCAATATGCATTCAGGTAATTAAAAAATAAAAAAAAAAAAAAAAAAAAACATTTAAAAAAGTTGTATGACCAAAGCTTTTCGGTCATATTTCTCTTCTGGATCATACGAATGAATTACTTTGACCCAGAATCAGCTGACATTGGGCTAAAGACTGCTGCACAGAGCTGATCCAGGCTGTGGAAGGATTGCGACAATGTCATCGGGATACACCCAGATGTCTTACCGGCAGCTATCTCAGCCTCCCGTTTCTGCCCCCTCTCCAGCCTGGTGCTTTATTGAGCACTGGAACGGCAAAGCAAAGCAGACAGTGTTGGCCAACAGTAACTACTCAGAGTGGACCAAGAACTGAACAATCAGCAGTCATGTGATAGCTTAGTTCTCGGGTTAGAGCCATCAGGGACAGCTGCAGCATCACAGCGATGCTGCAGCCATAGAAGTGAGAACAAACTTTTTTTTTTATTTTTTAGGAGTCCCACATTTCTCCTTTTATCTTTTTTGGATAAATCACTTTTAGGGTTGGATTTACCATGTGCAGATTTGTGCTACATTAGTAGCTTTGCCCCATTGTTTTCTCAGCCAAGCACATACATCAAATATCTGAACATGTGGTTCCTTTCATCAGCAGGATTACTACTAAGACAATGATAACAGACCACATGCTTCACACTGCAGCCTTCATTTTAAGAAAGCAAAATTCACAAATATAAACACTGGCTGCAATAGGACCTAACAAAACAGTGTATAGCAAAGAGCAGATAACAATATCTGCTCTATGTTGTAATTAGCTCCTCAGCCTGCCTGTACAGTACGGCCATTTAAGTGGCTGCTGTGTTAATTGGTCGAGTGTTGAAAGATGTGACATAGTGAATAGTATAGACCAATTCACTTCTATTTCCCTCATGTGTGGCTGGGGTTTTAAACTTCACAAGCCATCTCAAATGTGAATTGTACATATACAGTGTGATAAACTAGTTCTCACTGGATAGCTTCCAAATGATTCACTCTACACTTTCTAAATTAAATCACTGTTCATATTATTTTTGGTATAGTTATCAAAATCAAAAGCAGCAGAAAATGAAAGGATCAAAAATCAATAATGCAAGCTCAAAATGTTTGTAAAATTTTTGTTTTGATCTGTTTTACCATATGAACTGTGAACAAGTCCTGACGATTCAGCATTGGTAGAAAGTAAGACCAGGCAGTGTTTTTCCCACGTCGAGCATAATCAAAAAATATGCTGACACGCTGATGATTTTCCTACAAAACAGAAGGCAAAATTATAAGTTACAATTTATTTTGCTTTTGTTCTTTGCTGCTTTATCTGTTTTACCTCTTGACATGGTTTGGCATCACAAATGCGAGACAATAATCTAAATGCTATTTCAACAAATTAAGTAATCAAGAACAAAAATACAAATATATTACAATCATCATGTAAATTTGTACACAGATGTTTTATAAAAGTCTCCTGATATCTACAAGGATATTGGATATCTCAGATATCTACAAGGCACCAGTCAACACCACTAGATGAGGACTATTAGCAACGATGTAAAAAAGTAACAACTTTTGTTGAGAAAAAAAAAACAAACATTCCCCTCTGGATGATCTATGTACATTGAACAGATTTTAACAAACTTTGTTGCAGATTTCTACCTTTTTTATTCTGAAGAAGTAGATGTTTGTTTGTCTGTGTCCATGTGCAGAGTGACTCTAATGGCGGTGGTTTTATAATTATAAATCAGCTGCTGCACCTGCAGGGCACCAATGAGGAAAATTTCAGGGTCTGCATCCCTTCAGATGTAATTTCCCAAAGGGAGTATCTCCCCAAAAGTTACATTTTTGTTGCAGGGGATGCCAAAAATCTAACTTGTATCTTAGTGCAGACTTCTGGCAAAATCAGTGAGCCAATCACCTCAAGGTAGCCATACTGCATTGCATTTTACAGAAAATTACAGCACTGCAGACAAAGGGAAAAGTAATTTTTAAGAACATAAAATTACAATATGACTTTAATCGCAATTGTAAACGCTATATATATATATATATATATATATATATATATATATATATATATACACACACACACACACACACACACACACACACACACACACATAAATAAATTTGCTAATTTGTTTCCATAAAAGTGGAGTTACCCTTTAAATCAGGGGCTAGGTGCACAAGGCACATGCTACTAAAGTTCTTCTTGAAGCTCAATACAGAAAAATGTTCACCAAAACAATACGTTGAATATGTGAAGTGTTTTATTTATGTGGCCTATAATAATTTAATTTATAATATAATTTAAGTGTAAATTTATGTGGACTATAATTTATGGAAGCAATTTACTCTGCTGACCTGTTAGCCTGCATTGCTCCCATGACTAGAGGTGGCGGAGCACAGGAAACAATGCATATAATCACAACATTTTTAGTACAGCTGCTAGATGCATGTCCATAACAAGCGCTTGTGCATGCTAACCCGCATTCCCTACAATGAGAATCACTATTAAACATTGTATATACAAGCTTCTTCAATAAAAACAATACAACAATATCAGAACATGTTATGGAACACATTTCTTTTTAGTAAAATATGATCACCAAAAGATGGTCTAAGCCCAAGGATGGTCTCAGAAGAGATATCTTCCCAAATAAGCAAATTTAAATTGCCTAAAATCAGCAATGTTTGCTTGTTTTATGCTGACCTTAAGAAATTAATATTGTTTGAAAAATACAATCAGTTACTCTGATATCCCAGACACAAACCTGTGGGCAAAGGGCAGTGCATTATTTCCTTGCCTGATCACCGTCCACACTGTGGCCATTGTAAATCCTTTATCTCTGCTGATCTAGTGGTTCAGTAATTGTGCTCAGCAACTAGGCAGTTTACATTTTTGTCAAATTTTGGATAGCATCACCAAAGCCAAGGGGAAAATTGCTGCAATTTTATGCTACTGCATATTGTACGCTAGCCATGTCCCTTATGTTCTCAAGAAATGGGGCGTCAGTCCCAGCTTCCTGAAAAGATTACAAATCATTGTACTTATCTCCCACAACCTGTATACAGTATGCGGCATACAGATCCACTTCCTTTCCAAAAAATGTGAAACTAGGCAAGGTATTCCCATCTCTACTTTATACCAGATGCTGAATGCCTTAACCCACCTAACGAGAGAATCTTCAAATATCTCTGGCCTAGAATTAGTTGTTCATAACTATACTGTACAGATGATGCACTTTTATTTATCACAAAAGCAATATGTCTCCCTAACCTATTTTTGATATTATCACATACTGTCAGGTCCATAAATATTGGGACATCGACACAATTCTAACATTTTTGGCTCTATACACCACCACAATGGATTTGAAATGAAACAAACAAGATGTGCTTTAACTGCAAACTGACAGCTTTAATTTGAGGGTATTTACATCCAAATAAGGTGAACGGTGTAGGAATTACAACAGTTTGCATATGTGCCTCCCACTTGTTAAGGGACCAAAAGTAATGGGACAGAATAATCATCATAAATCAAACTTTCACTTTTTAATACTTGGTTGCAAAGCCTTTGCAGTCAATTACAGCCTGAAGTCTGGAATGCATGGACATCACCAGACGCTGGGTTTCATCCCTGGGGATGCTCTGCCAGGCCTCTACTGCAACTGTCTTCAGTTCCTGCTTGTTCTTGGGGCATTTTCCCTTCAGTTTTGTCTTCAGCAAGTGAAATGCATGCTCAATCGGATTCAGGTCAGGTGATTGACTTGGCCATTGCATAACATTCCACTTCTTTCCCTTAAAACACTTTGGTTGCTTTTGCAGTATGCTTTGGGTCATTGTCCATCTGCACTGTGAAGCGGCGTCCAATGAGTTCTGAAGCATTTGGCTGAATATGAGCAGATAATATTGCCTGAAACACTTCAGAATTCATCCTGCTGCTTTTGTCAGCAGTCACATCATCAATAAATACAAGAGAACCAGTTCCATTGGCAGCCATACATGCCCACGCCATGACACTACCACCACCATGCTTCACTGATGAGGTGGTATGCTTAGGACCATGAGCAGTTCCTTTCCTTCTCCATACTCTTCTCTTCCATCACTCTGGTACAAGTTGATCTTGGTCTCATCTGTCCATAGGATGTTGTTCCAGAACTGTGAAGGCTTTTTTAGATGTCGTTTGGCAAACTCTAATCTAGCCTTCCTATTTTTGAGGCTCACCAATGGTTTACATCTTGTGGTGAATCCTCTGTATTCACTCTGAAGTCTTCTCTTGATTGTTGACTTTGACACACATACACCTACCTCGTGGAGAGTGTTCTTGATCTGGCCAACTGTTGTGAAGGGTGTTTTCTTCACCAGGGAAAGAATTCTTTGGTCATCCACCACAGTTGTTTTCCGTGGTCTTCCGGGTCTCTTGGTTTTGTTGAGCTCACCGGGGCGTTCCTTCTTTTTAAGAATGCTACAAACAGTTGTTTTGGTCACGCCTAATGTTTTTGCTATCTCTCTGATGGGTTTTTGTTTTGTTTTTTCAGCCTAATGATGGCTTGCTTCACTGATAGTGACAGCTCTTTGGATCTCATCTTGAGAGTTGACAGCAACAGATTCCAAATGCAAAGAGCACACTTGAAATAAACTCTGGACCTTGTATCTGCTCATTGTAATTGGGATAATGAGGGAATAACACACAACTGGCCATGGAACAGCTGAGAAGCCAATTGTCCCATTACTTTTAGTCCCTTAACAAGTGGGAAGCACATATGCAAACGGTTGTAATTCCTACACCGTTCACCTGATTTGGATGGAAAATACCCTCAAATTAAAGCTGACAGTCTGCAGTTAACCCTTTGAGGACCAAGGGATGTATTTGTCCTATGTTTTTAATTGCCTGTATCATCTGATTAAGAACTTAAAATACTTTTTTTTGTTTGGTTTGAGTCAAAATATTAGTTCTTAACAAATGGATCTAGCTTTTTGCCAATTATTTCATGAAATGGCTTAGTTACAGCAACTGAAGTGTATGAACTTTAAAAACAAAAAATTGATTCTTTTGGCGTTCCGTAATCTTATGGTCCTCAAAGGGTTAAAGCACATCTTGTTCCTTTCATTACAAATCCATTGTGGTGGTGTATAGAGCCAAAAATGTTAGAATTGTGTCAATGTCCCAATATTTATGGACCTGACTGTAGTTCAGAAACATTTCAGGCCTCCATGTCAATATCTTGAAATCAAAGACTAGATATCCAATTAGATCCACACACCAAACAAAACATTGATAACCTATTTTCAGTGGATGCCTATTCGCCATCTCAACACCACAAATCTCTCCTAGAATCATGGAACATATATCACATACATTGATTAGGTGGTATTGGAGCAGTGAAAATGACAGCTCTATTAAAATTATTCTATTCAGGAGTGTGAAAATCTTTGAAAAAAACTACTTGTCCAGGGACTAAATCTGCTTGTCCCGCATTACAATGTACTTGTCCAGATTAAAAAAAAAAAAAAAAAAAAATCAATTTTAACCAAAACCAGATTTAAATCTGAGGTGCTGGTAGGAATGTCTGGGACTTTTAAAATCAAAAAGGGGCTCTATGGCAACTTAAATGTTTAATTTTTTTTAACATTACGCTGTTTATCTCCCCCTTCCCTCCCTGCCTGTCTCCAGTGTCAAAGTCAGGGACTAGCAGGGAGGAGAGAGACCTTACAGTGTAATGAGCACCGATTGGATGCTCGTCATGAAAGATAATTGTGAGGCTTATCCCTTTCGCTGCCAGAGCCATTTTTGCGATTCTTGCACACGTTTAAAAAATCATTTAAGGCTTGAAGATTACACAATACCCCCAAACATTTATTTTTCTGAAGGCAAAAGACCCTAGAGAATAAAATAGTGGTAGCTCCAATTTTTCACACGACATTACCGCAAAGGTCTAGGAAATGCAAAATTTCAGTAAAAAATACACTTAGGGTAATTTTTATTGCTTTTTTTGTGTCCTAAAATTAATTTATTTTTTGGTAAAATATAAAAGATGAAGTTCCACCGAGTAAATAGATATCCAACATGTTAAACCTTAAATTTGCAACAAACTTCAGTACCCTATATTTTTTCTATAGGAGACGCTTTTAAACCCCTTATAGTTTATTAGTAGTGTTATGGAAGAGGTCTTCGTAGGTGCTAGAATTATTGCACTCATTCTGGCATGCATGGCGATGTGTAACATGTATCGCAATGAACATTTTAATGCGTAGGC